TCCCTGAGGGAGGATTACCCCTAGATTTCACCGGGTCCGTCTGCGCCGCGTTACGGCCGCGTTACGGCTGCGCCGCGGCATTCGCAAAGATCGCGGCCACTCTAGTCAATGGGTGCTATTCCACCAGACGCACCGCGTTGCGGCTCAGAAGCGTCCCAGAAGCGTCCCAGAAGCGTCTCTGCGCTGGGCTCCGCTCAAAATAGAATTCAAGTCTATTTTTCGACGCAAGGCGTTGCATAGCGCCGGGCAGGAAGTGGACTGGTCAGAGCATCCGGCCCATCCCCAAAATAAACTAATTTTGCAGACCCTATCCCTCTGTAGTCTTTCAAGTAGGAGGATAAATGCCAGCGTTCACCTCCGGTTTACAGACACTATGTAAATTATATATATAGAATAATTAGGATGATGAATGCATTTTTTTACCACTAAAATACAGCAACACATCTTTGATTCATGTCGTTTATAACTGGAATATTACAATTATTATTAACTTTGTCTGTACAAAGTAGCCTGTCCAGGAAATATGCCCAAATCAACAAAAACTGTGAGCCGGCAGGCAAGACGCTCCGCTTCTGAAATGCTTCTGAAACGCTTCTGAAACGCGCCCGGTAGGGTATAACGCCGGAGGAGGCTGGACCAAAACCGCGGCGCAGCCGTGACGCGACGCAGACGGACTCTAGGGGTAAGGCAAATTAAGCCGCTGACGTCACTTCTTCTTCTTCTGCTTCGGGTTTACTGGCAAACAATTTCACGGCGTATACTGCCACCCGAAGTCCCCGGCCGGAAGTCCCCGGAGTTGGGGACTGGCTTCAGTAGAAGCTGCTGGGAGTCTTCCCAGCAGCTTCGAGTAAATCGCCAGAACGCCGACACCTCCTCATCACTCCACCGCTCCCACGTTTTATTTTGTGTTGCCATAAGTTAGTCTCTCTGCGTTGGTGCGCTGGGCTAATGCTAATGCTAATAATGCTAATGCGAGCAAATAAAATGGCGGCTTCACAAAACTTTTTGGGAGTTTTACGGGGCGTGGTTTGCAATCCGCCCAGCCAATCAGAAATGGGAACCTTTCTCTCCCATGAAAGTACCTGCTCTCTAGCAGGGACTGAAAAGGGGGTGGAAAGGTTCTCATGAACTAAGTTCTAGTTCCGGATTTTTTTGGTGTGAACGCAAATTTTCGGAACTATATCGGAACTAAAGTGGGAAAAGTACTCCGGTGTGAAAGCGCCTCTTGTAAACCTTCACATACCTACGCAGTTTTAAACACTTTTTATGTCATATGTTCAAACTAAAATATTGGTATTGTAAAGGAAAAGATAATGGTTTGAGTTCATGAAATGAGTTTAGAAATTGGCGTGTTATTCATATATTATTTGTCGACATTCTTGCGGTTGCCTGTTTTCTGCTTCAGTATTTCAAAGTAAAAGCCTCTGCTTTCCAAGTCGTATCAATTACACGAATCACAGTCTCATTTTTTATTCTGTGTTAAGGACGTCCTCATGCTTGCTTGTTGAGCTTGTCTGGACGTGCAGCAACACCATATCCCTGTAAAACAAGAATCACATAAATAAATGCATGACACCCTTTAGCTGCACAGGAGGTCCTCAGCATCATGTTGTTGCTTTCCCACAGAGATGGAACATAGCACATGATCTCTGTGTGCTTTAAAGTCACTTTGCAGCTGCACAGGCACAGGCACAACAACAGATAATACAGCTTGATTTGTAAAGCACTTTAAAACCTCCAGACCAAAGTGCTGTACAGAGCAATACATTCATTAATACAATACAAAATTCACACAGCTCACAAACCAGTAAATATGTAAAACTAAATAATGAAAAATAAAAGCAACAATCTTCAAAGTGAAGAACGCTAAGGAGAAGAGGTGGGGGAACAACAACAACAGATACATATTTTTCAAGGTGAGTGCTTAGAAAAAACATATTTTGCAGCCGTATCTAAAATAAGAACAGGGAAAAACAAAAAAGATGGTGGTGCTTATTTTAAAAAGAGAGAAATATGAAACAGAGAAGAAGAGAGGCTGCACCCCTTGATAATAAACAGCAAGTTATGCTAAAAAGAAAAAGAAGCTCCCTACCCCCTCCTCCCTTACTGCCTCTGCTCTCTCTCTCACACACACACACACACACACACACACACACACACACACACACACACACACACACACACACACACACACACACACACACACACACACACCTCCCTTAGCCTATATAAGCAGACAGCAGCTCTGAGTTGACCCCCTCCACCCTGCACACTCTCCTTTATTAAACACACACACACAAACACACACACTGTCTTTGCAGTTTTAAAATATATGTGGATATTTTTGGTGCTAAAAACTCAGTGTGGAAGAAGGATCTCTCTTTTTTTGAGCTATGTGTGCAGAAAGCCCCGCATTGTAGAGAGAAAGGGCTGAGCAGAGAGAGCTTCCCATCCCCCACATTCACATAGCAAAGTTCTGCTGCTTTTGCAAGCGGGGGTGGTGCGTTCAAGTGCTCCGACAGAAACTCGTGAATGCACAGTGTCGCAGCATTTCTCATGTTTTCTTCTGCTCGGAAATACACTCTAGTTAGGGATTAGTTTTCTCAGCTTCATGCTTTGTGTATCTCAGATTTACTTCATGTTGCTTAAAGAATAATATGTGTTTTCCTACAAAATAAAGACATGATACAAGAGTGCACACTATCTTTTCATCAAGTATACATAATACATACACACACATCCTCCTATTTATCAAGAACTGGCTGCATATCCTGTCAACTGTGGTCATGGCATTGTTTTCCTGAACTCAACGATAATCCATATGTATTCCACATTCTTTAAAATCGTATTTATTTAATTTGTATTCACTTTTTAGGTACTAAATCTGTATTCTTTTGGTAACAAGGTTATTATACATCACTATATCTGATGTCTTGTATATATTGTATAATATGGGACTTTTTTTGTGCCAATTTCCACAATAATCTACGTGTTTTTATTGTAACCTACATTTTTTATAATGTAATTTAACCCATAGATGTTTGATATTGAGTAAAAAGTGAGTATATAGTGGAAGCATTAGGTTATCCTACATCACTTTGTCTAATGTTTTATATTTGATGTGAGGCCACATCACTGTTTTACTGAATTATGATAATCCGTTCTATTGTAATATGCATTCTTTATTGTCTTATTTATACACTTTAAGCCACTATGTCTCATGTATATATGATTTGTTGCTTATATTAAACAGCTTTTACACATTGCAACATCTCTAAAACATTAAATCAGCAACTAATGCACGATTTGGGAGATCATTTCCGACTTTTATTGCACATTTAGTTCTTTACTTTTACATTGCATGAGTCATTCGTGGCTGACTCAGGGCGTGATGGTGAAAAATCCGACAGACAATTAAGGCAGCATGAAGGCTGCTGCTGCTAGGAGAGCGCGAGGCAGAGAGCACGAAGAAAGGGGGTGGGGAGAGGGAGACAGATAGGGGGGGGGGGGGGAACAGGGTGTCTTTTCCTATTAATTGAAGATTATGCTTTTGCTCCAAATCTCTTCTCGTGTTTTGACGTGAGATTTGATGAAAGATTTTACAGAACGATATGTTGAATTCAAGAGGTCTTTTCACTGTCACTTTTTGGCACCACTGTTTCTCTTTTTCACTTCCTGCTCTGGCTCAGTCCATCCCCCATCCTTCTTCCTTTTCTCCCCCCTCTCTTTCTGCACAGACAGGTTGTGATTTCATGCTTTCCTCCACTTTCTTCCATATGTGGACACATGGAAGCAGTCACTTCCACCCATTAGCCCCACTCCAACAGAAGATGACATTTCAGCCTATTTTATTTTTCCTCCACTCCTTTAACGAGCTAATAAGATAAAAGTGCACAAATGAAATGTAACACACAGCTCATGCATGAAGTAATTGTAGTAATCAGGATGGTTGAGTAGTTATGGCTGACTTCAAGGCAGAGTAAAGGAATAAAAGGGAACATTTTAGTAGTTTAATGCCATTAAACTGTGTCTGTAGCATGCATGTGGCTGTTTAAAAGATATTTAAAATAAAGTTCAATGTGTCACTGAAAATATGTTTATTATGGAACATGATATGCTTATATATTAGCAGATTACATGTATGAATTAAAGCATAGGAACGCTGTCCTTTACACATTTCAGTTAAGTAAGGATGTTTTGTACTTGTATCTAATTTATTTTGTACATTTATGTTCATTGTGCACATTTTGGATGTTATAATAGTTCATATTTCTACGTTTCCTTCTTAGGGCTTTTGATACGTCAACATTTTAGTGCACACGCTCGGTTATAAGCTCAATAAACTTACATTAATGTCCCATGCACTCATTATTCTATTTGTACATGAATGTAGTCTTTCTGCATTTACTTGCACATTTTGAGACTTGCAGTACTTTATTTAGATTTCGTCGTGCACTGTTTTTATATGTTTATACGTCTTAGGTATATTGTTGGTTGCATTTCCGAAACTACACTGTAGCTATTGTGCATATGACAAATAAAGCCTTCAAATGTTTGTTGTATGCTTGCATTAAATGTTTTGTCTTAAAGTACTTAGAAAATCGCAATATAGATTAAATATATTATAATTATTTTTTATAACCATGCTGTTTTTTTGTTTTACTATATACACATTACATTTTTTTAAGTATTATTATTATGAATACTATGCTATATAAAACATACATTTTCTTTGTTATCATTATTATGCTATGTCAATTAATTAATATTTGTTTATTATTATTATATATATGTTTTTCTACTATTATTATTTCAATTAAACGTATTATTACTATAATAATGCTGTATATATTAAATGTATTATTATTATTTAATTGTTTAATGTTGTAATCATCATCATGCTCTCTTATGGTGTAAACAGTGTTGTTGTTGGCTCCGGATCCAGTTTCCTCTCAGTACTCCACTCCGGGTTTTCGTTCCCTCGCGCCCTCTTGGTAAGATGGCTGTGTGTCTCGCGGAGCCTCGTGCTGGTTTGGTTGATTTCTAGCTCGCGCTCTCGTTCTGTAACAGAAGCCCCCCCCACACACACACTCGTACACACACACACACTCACTAGTGTCGGTGAAATACATTTTGTGCCGGGCTCCTCTGTATTTATTATATTTTTTGAAAACTTTTTCCCCTCTCCGTTTTTGCTTGAAACGGAGTCGCGGTGGATTAACCGGATACCGGGGCGGAGGGGCTAAATCTCGGGGGGGGGGAATGAACCGGGACGTCGGGTACGTTGGTATAAATATAACCGTATTTATATTCAATGGTGTTTTTAGGGAGTTTGACTGTGAGTGAGTCTCGGTGCTGAGAGAGAGGCAGTGAACGAGAGGAGAGAGGGAGAGACATAATGGCCGCTCAGGTCGCCAGCGTCGCCTCTCTCAACACAAGCCCGCCATCCGAACTCAAGAAGCCGGATCGGGACTCGCAGGAGGACTCGGTGGTGGTACCGGGGGAGAAACTGCAGGAAAATAAGGAACCGGGAACCGACGGCGGATCTCCGGGTCAGAAGGAGGACGGGAGCGATGGAGGAGGAGGAGGGGATCCCGATATGAAGAACGGGAATGTTCCCAGGGTAAATAATAATAATAATAATAATGATTCAAGCGAGGGGAACAACCATCCCGGAATGGGACACCACCATCCGGGCCCCTTTCCTCCACCTCCTTACGGTTACAACCAGCACTACAGCCGGGCCCCTTTTCATCAACATGGCGGACAACAAAGCCCTGGCATGGCAGCTGCATCGGGGCCGGGCATGATGGACCCTTACCCGGCTAACTCACACGAATACCCCAACCCCAACCATTACAACAACTATAGCCCTTTCCAAAACAGGACTTCTTCTTCCTCTTCTTCTTCCTACCAGGGCTACGGAGCCATGACTTCCCCGCGAAATAACAGCCAGGCTCCAACGGCCGGGGGGCAGCCAGGCAAGCAGCAGCCAGCAGGAGGAACCACTGCTGCTTCGTACAATAATCAGAGGTATAACATGGGAACCCAACAACCTACATCCACGCCAACTTTAAATCAGCTTTTGACATCCCCCAGTTCAGCAAGGAGCTACCCGAATTACCCCCAAGGAGACTATAACAATCAGGAAGGGGCCAGCAAGGGACCAGCAGATATGGGCAGTCAGTATGGAGGTGGTGGTGGTGGAGGAGGAGGAGGAGGTGGTGGTGGTGGTGGTGGTGGTGGGGTCCATCCGGGTTGGCAACAAAGGAGCCACCATCAAGCTCCCATGAGCCCGGGAAACACTGGACAACCTCCCAGCAGAAACCAGGTAAACTCACTCACTGCACAGGCACACTTTCACTGAGTTAACCCGCACAAAAAGCACTGTTAAGAGTTGCATATTGCATTGGACTCAGCCATTGTCTATGTAGCAAGAGCTCTTAAAATGGCTGCCTCTCTCTTTTCTCCACAACACCAGCCCCCTGTAACTGTGTTTTACACCGAGAAAGAAGCCACATAGTGTGTTGGAAACAACTTCCAGAGTTGTAGGGGGATTAGTAGTGTGTCCCTGCTGGGTACAGGGCAAAGAGTTTGACTAAGTAGAGCCAGAGTTTGTCAGGAGAAAGTGTGTGTGTGTGTGTGTGCAGAGAGGGAGATAAGGCGCAGTGCTTCTTCTCCTCGCTTCATTGTAGGGGTTTAAGTTATTTCTGTTAGAATCTAACCTAGTTTCGCATGTTGTGCTCGCTAGCAGTGCTATTAAAAGTGTGTCAATGGCTGTCAAGGGTAATAAACAAGATGCAAATGACAGTTAAGTAACATTTGCATAATCATTACGGGGAAAAAAGACCACTGTCGGTTTTAAAACGGCAAGGTGGGGTTTGTGTCTCTCAGTCTTGTGCATGGCCAAAAATGCATGCTGCGGAGTGTTTACTCGGATCAAAGTGTGATTGTGGCCACGATTGATTCATCCTGACGGAAACGGAGGGGTTTTCATTCATTTGTGGCTCGGTTTTCGCCTTTTCCCCCCTGCTCTTCTTTGCCTCTGTGCTCCATGTGCCGCCTTGTAAACACGGAGCTTTAAGAGTTGGCAAAGTGCAGATTGCCTTTGCTCTGGGATTTGAATTATGGAGGTAAAATCCTGCTGTCAGAGCCAGGAGACAGTTGGTCTTAGGTTGACATGCGAGCAGAGATCTGATTGGCTCCCCCTTTCCCTCGGCTCTCGGCCATTTATAATTGCATCTACTGGAAAAGGCTGCAGAAAAACAGCCCCCCTTTGCACGGATATATTCCTGCACCGTGGCAAGGCATCCTTATTCTTTTCGTATTCATTTTAAAAACATTAATGCATTCATTTGCATAAAAATATGTATTTGTATGTACATCAAAATGCACCTTAATGTTCTCCCATTGCAACAGAAACAGCACTATTATTCCAGAATATTATTTACTCATTGGTTGCATCTATTTAAAGCATTTTTTAAGAACACAGTTCCTCCCACTGCAGTAATTTGCATGATGACTGTACTCCAGAGATCCACTGAGTGACTGCACCTCATGCACAGGTCACTTTTATCATTTTTAGTTGACCTCACACATGCACTTGAAGTGTTTTATCTTTACATTTGTTCAGTTTGGTACTCTGTGCACAGCTCCTTTTTTATTTGGCTGACTCTGGTTCAGCACATAGAGTAGGTGTGGTCATGAAGCACTGTTGTACAAGTGCATTTCCCACTGTTTCCAGATCAGTTTGAAGTCAATTTATCTCCCGGGCCATGTGAGAGGGTTGGACTGGCTGCAGTTTTGTTTACAAGCAGCCAAGGTGTCATCAGTGTGTCACGGCTTTTTTTTTCGTGCTTCTTCCAGCAGGATACAATAGCTTAATTTGCCTCCACATGCAGAGAGAGAGAGAGGGAGAGCGAGAGCGAGAGCGAGAGAGAGAGAGAGAGAATCAACAGTGCTCTCTCTCCCTCCTCTCTCTTCAGTGATAACAGCCACATGTGCAGTGTTTTCACTCTGCAATTATGTGTCAAAGGCAGCATCAGTGGAGTGTGTACAGTACTATGAAGGACTATTTCTGTCATCTAGATAAACACGTGAAGGTTGGCGCCAGTCTGTTGCTTTTGTTACGAATAAGGCATGTGATTCCTTTTAGGAAATAAATCTGTTTGTTTTTCACTCAAAGAGGAGATTGTATTCACTTCTTTTAAAGACAATATTTTGTTTGCGATTCATATATATTCAATTAATTCTGTCGTTGCATCATCCCATATTTTTTTGTGTTGGTTAACTTTGCTGCTTTAGGCATATACTACTAAGGTACTGCTATATGTGTGTTGCTTTATTCTTATTTGTTGCTGCATTATTTATTTCAAACAGACACACAGTTAATCTAGAAGTGATACCACACATGTTGCCGTTTAAACTTTAAGGTGCTATTCGCTGGTCTTTATGTTGATTTCCACCTTGTGACTGTTTTTAAATGTCAGCAGAAGTGTTTGGTTCAAATTATTGTAATCTATATGTCGAGATATTTAGGCAGCATGGTCAAACTCAACTGGGAATCTTCATAAAATAAGGAATAAGAAGTGTCTTGCTGATGAGTCCTTTTGATTCAGTAGTGCTGCTGATTGAATAAAGTTGGATTTCCGTTTCAATTTGTCACTTCCTGTGTGTCCAAACGAAGCTGCTCAAGATACAGGAGTTTGACAGAGTAACTGTTGCTGGTGAACATCATGGTTATCTTGATCTAGCTAAATGATTTCCACGTTACAGAAGTTGTGTTTCATTGAGCATTCAAATCTTTCTTTAAGCTGTTTTTTTTTACCCTTTACACCACTCATTTTCAGGATGTGGTCAATCACATGTGTTCTCATTGGTTGTTTGATACATTTATCAAAAGAAGTAATTGCGGTTGTTGGATCGCTTCATGTGGCTCACTATCATCAAACCCCATGTATCTAAGAAGCTTTAAGATGCAGTAGATGTTCTATCAGATAGACTTCTCTCATAGATTAGTTATAGGAAATGTCACTTGGCATTTAATGTCCTGTGATGTGAGCATGATGCTGAAATTATATATCCTGCAGCCCTGGTTCATATCCAGATTTAATTAAGGTAAATTCACAGCATCTCTTCGGTGAACTTTTCTCAGTTGACGCATCTATTCTGGGACATTTCTTTTTACAGGGGGTGGGGGGGTGTGACGTCACGTGACTTGAATTTTGAATTGAGCCGTCCCTTATAGATACTATCTCTTAACGTATGCACACACACAATTTTGAATTGCGCCGTCCCTTATCCTATCTCTTAACGTCTCCCTGGCATGGTCCTTGGAAAATGCGGCAGTAGTTTTTTTTTTTTTGTCACAGGAATGCACTTTGCTGGCGGCGAAAAGAATCCCACCACACTCCTTTGCCCCTCCAACAGAGGGATGTCCTTTTTCCTTTTCGTCATTTCAAGCGATAAAAACTCTCGATCTTCTCTCAAATTATTTTTTGGACGCCCTCGGCTCGAGTTTAGGGCGTTCCGAGCTGAATAAGGACGTCAAATGACGGCAAGACGCCCCCCCTGGCGGAAACGCTGATTGAGATTGCATTGGGAAAAGTATTTCTGATGATACTCCTTTCATTTACATATCTTAGTCATTTTCTATTGCTCAATAGACTTCAGAAACCTAAAGTTTATTTCCTTTCTAGTCACTTCTGGATGTAGGCTAGAATCAGCAACACTCGTCTCACTGAATAATGGTAAATGGACTGTACTTATAGCGCTTTATCCAGTCTTTAAGACCCCTCAAAGCGCTTTACATACATGTCATTCACCCACTCACACCCATTCATACAGAGCAGTGTACCTTACTCTACGAACTAACTTCCACACAGAGCAGTGTACCTTATGGCGCGTTTCCACTACAGCGCGGAGCACGGTTTAAGAGGGCTGTGACGTCAGCGGCCCGTCTTTGGTTGCGTTTCCACTTGGCCTAGTACCGGCCGGCGGGTCCTAATTCACAGTTTTTCTGGCCTCATAAAATCGTGGGTCTAGGGCCAGAGACAACGAGGCTGAGTCGGGCTGAGTATGCTAAACTAGAGAGAGCATCGCTGGCAAGGGGGCTACAACTACAACAAGATGGACATATTTGACCGTGATTTAATTGTAATACACGTTTCAAAATGATGCCGAAAGTAACAACATACTGATACCGGTTAGTAAAAACCATGAATTAATGCTTTGTCAAGTCTGCAGACAGACGGCAGGGGAAAAACCTTTTAAAATGCGTGTTTTCTAAATGGAGATTGGCTAAGCTAACGCAGTATATGCTCCGACCGTCCACACTCACAACAACGGCCTATACAGACATAAATAAACCAGTGACTGTATTCACCATGACACAGACAGTCTGTGGTTTGTACTTGTTTCACTTTTGTCTAGTTTCTGAACAGATATGAGGAGCTGTGAGCTCTGAGTGCTAACAGCTAACGGCTGTGTTGTTTTTCTGGGGTTCTCATTGAAGATGACGTCACGGCTCCGCCTACACTGCGTTACTATAGATACTACCCCAGTTCATAAACTGTAATGGAAATGCGCCATAAAGTGAGCCAGTCCTAACGAGGCCCAGCCATACCGAGCGGGGCAGAGCGAGGCCGTGTAGTGGAAACGCGCCATTACTCTAGGAACTAACATTCCCACAGAGCAGTGTACCTTACTCTACAAACTAACATTCACACACATTCACACACCGTTGGCCATGCCATCGGGAGCAACTCAGGGTTAAGTATCTTGCCCAAGGATACATCGACATGTTGACTGCATGGGCTGGGACCGCACTCCCTCGCAGCCACAGTCGCCCTAATAATATCTTGGTTTAATCTCTATCTATCATTGTATTGTGTACAAAATGTCCTTTGTATATTTGTTGTTAAATTAGAGCTATGAACTTAGAATAATGTCTCGCTGTGAAAGTAGTTTGCAGTAATCTTTGTTGGCGCTTGCGTTCTTTCAACTTCTATCTTAACAATTCTTATGCTTTTTATATACTAAATGTTCATATTTTGAAGAGTTTGATCAAGAAGCCTAGGCTCAGTCTTTATGTGCACGTGGAAAGAGAGTGTCTGGTAATTAAAGACTTTGTTTGTTACACTTGAAGTTGGTAGAAAATGTTTTTTTACAGAACACAACGGGGTCTGTATGGGACAGAAAGTGAATAGTTTTGAAACTGTTGAAAGCGTTTCTCACAGACTATCCTCTGTCCATGATAGTCGCTGTCGGCTGTGCACATTATATTAAATCCTTTAACTCTCCCTTCATTACCGGCGCCACTATTGGCCTTTT